CACAGATATCACCATGAAACTTCACCACTTCATCACTCACATTAAGAGGAGTATTTGTTGTATTACAAGTTTTCTGATATGTTATGTTTTTATATGTAAATGAGGCGTTATGTAATGGTAACTTTTGGTGAATTTAGTAGAAATCTACAGACGTAAACAAACAAAGAAGTAAAATAAACTCCTGAATGTGTATTTTGGATGTTTTTGTGCATAAAAAGCGATATTATTGCCTACACTGTCTCACTCTTTTCTGTCGATCAACTAATTGATTGTTGCAGCTCTAATCATAATAAAAACATATTAGCGCTGACATTAAATATTTCAAACATGACGATGCATAAAATCCAAGACAAAACCTGAAGAGTCCAAGTTTCCCTTCAAGTTGTTCAAAATCAGCATGAAATGTGTTGAAACAGCTTCGTGAGCATTGATTATTAAAAACATATCACTTTCAACTGGAACAGCTGCATTCACCTGGATGACAACGGGGGACATATGTATACATATATTTATACATCAAACAGTACTCCTCTTCCAATCAAGTATTGCTCCAACAAGCTCTGTTCTCCACTGATCCTGAGCCTCCATCTGCCATCACTCTCATTTATTTTGGCTTGTTTTTTGTTTTTGTGAGATTAATGCAGCTTTTTTAATTTACATTTCTTAAAACCTTTTTGTGTCTCATCTCCGGAGCCAAACAGTTACTTGAACCCGCTCCTGCACGCGCACGCACACACACACCATATGTTCCTGAAATAAAGCTTCAACTGAACCATTGAACCCAACCTCCACCTCCAGCCACACACACACACACACACACACACACACACACACACTCCTCTGAGAAGGTAGAGACACATTTAATTAAAGTAAGAGCTCCGGAGTCGTCAAAAGCTGCATTACTTTTATTGCAGAGGCACATTTGTGACAAACGTCTCCGTGACATATTGGGCAGCACATTCTCCGACTGCAGCAGCACAGAAAGATGCAGCTTCACTGGAGGAGAGAACACAGAAGACTGAACAGCCTCCAGCTCTCCCTCCCTCTCTCTCCCTCTCTCTCTCTATTCATGGATTTGAGCTTCACATGCACAACTATCCTGAATATATAATCTATTTTAACCACTTCATGTGATCTGTTTTAAGACCTGTGCACAGCACTTCTGTGTGAGAATAATCAGCAACACTTTGGTCGCAGCTGTTGGCTCACATGTGCCTTGCTCAAGGTCGCCATCTAGTGCTGACAGCGTGTTACTTCCTGTGTAAAGTCCGCCTGCTGGGACGCCTCGGGGGAATCGATGGGAATACTACAACAGCAACGATCGTCCTGTGACACAGCTGGTTAACGTCAAACCCCTCCGACAGAGTCCAGACAGCAGCCCGTCTCAGTGCACAGCAGGGCCCTCTGCTGCAGATGTTTTCACTTCATGCAGCTGCTCGCTTCATTACAGCGTTATTGCATTGACTAGGTCCCGATTAGATCACTGGAATAAAGCCCAGCTGAGGTCTGGGACGGAGGACCGGTGATGAATGATTAGCTGTTTTGTCTAGAAAATGTCAGAAAATTGTGTTTCCCCGAAGCCCCACGATGACGTCCTGAAATGTCTTGTTTTGTCCACAACTCTAAAGATAATCAGTTTACTGTCACAGAGGAGGAAAGAAATAGAAAAGATTGACTCAAACCAAATATCCAATCGTCAAAATAGTTGCTAATAAATTGAAGAGATTGAGAACTTGTCCACTTGCACTAAATAACAACAAACTCTGAATGACTTGAAGGTAAAGAAAGTATATCGTTTCATAAAAGAATTAGTTATGAGACAAACTTATTGTAAGGCAGGCCAGCCTCATACTGGTGCAGAACAACAGTAACAACAGCAAACATGTGAATTAACAACAGGCGGGTTAGAGCTGACAAAGAAAAAGCAACAAAGCAAAAGCAAAGATTTCTTGAGATATACCAATTTTAAAAAATGTGCCTATTTAGCTCAAAATGAAGCAATTATGCAGCTGGATTTAAAATAAATATGCAGGATATTTAAGGGACAAATATCACACAAGAATGTATCTGTCTGGTGCAGAGTGCAAATATAATCCTAAAATCAACTTCAGCAGCAGCAATAGAAAGAGAATACAGCAATGTAGAATATAAATATAACATCATTAGTGCGATTATATACTCACTGATAGGAAAGCACACATTCGCTCTGTGCCAGGTTATTATCATTCAATGTGTAAACGGCCAACAGTAGCATCTTACCTGCAGGAGCAACGCGTCCTAAATAAAGTTCATCCTCGTAGACTTAAGACGCTTTAAAGGAGCTCCGCGAGACACTACGTGAAAAGAAATGATTCTTAAAAAGTGAATTCTCTAGAAAGATGTCGGTGCAGGTAACACGAGTAAAGTCCTCAGCGTCCGTGTCGGTCCACAGTGGAGACTAACTTGAGCCTCAGACTCTCTGCTGCAGCTTCTCTCTCCACAGAGCGACCAAAGAGCAGCGGAGGGGGCGAGAGGACGACCCCCCTCACCGCCGCTTCCGCTTGTGAATGAAGAAAGAAAGAAAACGACGGTTTAAATTTCACTTCAGTGTCGAATTAAGACAAATACAAAAATATAAACTACGAATATGAATGTCGTAGCTGATATTTGATGTATGGTTGCGGCAGTGTACTTTTCTTTATCACCATTTTATGCTACTTTATACTTCTAGTCCACTACATTTTGGAAGTAACGTTCAATGTTCCACAACTTTTATGAACCATCATTGGTCACTAGTCACTCTGCGGAGTCAGATAAATGTAGAAAAAATATATAAATACTATGAAATATACATATTCACATATGTCCCATTCCCCATTACTTATGGTGACGTCACTTTACATTACATGACGATAATACTTCTGTGACGTTGCTTTTACTTAAGCATGGTTTTGAACGCAGGACCTTTAACTTTCACTTGAAACAGAGTGTGTTTACACACATTTCACACGGGTCATATTGACTATATATTAAAACCACTTTTTGTACTTCATAAACGCCTGACAACGACCCCGTTCTTTAATAATGATAATAATAATAATAATAATAATAATAATATATTATTTGTAAAGCATATTTCATAACAGAAATGCAGCACAGAGTGCTTTACAGGAAGGGGAAATAGAAATAGAGTGAACATAAAAATAGGGATACAATGCCATACTTCATGGAAAATAAAATACTACACATACACATAATACTAGTAAAAAAATAATAAAGTTAAACATATTAAAATCAGTACCGATATTTGTAGACTCCACATAAACATGAATAAACACTGCAGCAGCATCAAAACAACCTGTAACGGACTTTAAAGGCAGTGTTGGCTGGTGGAACATGTTCTCTGTAGGGCTGTGCAAACATCCCAGAATGATTTAATGCAAAAAGATTAAGGTATCAAACACGTATTACTACTTTGCAGTTAAATATTTAACCTTTATTCCAACATGAAAAAAAGCAGAAAATAACACTTTGATAAACACGTCAGGACAAAAATCCTCACATTCGTGCAGATGGAACGATACATTTTTAATCGAATAATCATTTCAGCTGTACTTAATTAAACTAAATGTCATTTTACAGAAGCTCTTTGTGTATTTCGTATATTTTGTATATTTTGTGTGCAGAAATCTGAATTTGTAAAGTAGCCAAAGCTGTTAAAAATAAATGTAGTGGAGTAAAAAGTACCATACGTCCCTCTGAGAGGAAGAGTAGAAGTACAAACTGGAAAGAAAATAATATATTTAAGTAAAGTACAGGTACCTATAATTTGTACAGTATTGAGTGAAACTTAGTTTTAAGCCACCACTGCTTGTGTCCTGAGTCGACCGGATGTGGGCTTTAATACTCAGAGATTACATTAAAGTGTTTTCTTCTCTAAGATGCAAAATAACAACACGCTGGTTCAATTATTTAACTCTCAGTCAGAAACTCTGTGAGTACTGAAGCAAGTAACAAAGTAACAGACATTTAAATTATACATACAAATATATATATATAAACATGTGTTTCTAAAGGTTTACACATGTGCACACAATATTTATACAGTTTAAAGTTTAGGTTTAACAAACTTTAACAAAACAATGTGTGTATAAAAATATTTAGAAATGTGCCTGAAAATCTTATCACATGCACTAAAAGCTAATATACGACTGCAAGCTGTGATATTATTTGTAATAATCATTTATTACCAAAATATTAATCAAATATGATGAAATATTGATCAAAAATATGAATGACCCTTAAATCTGTCCGCTGTAGTTGTCTATTTGCTGTTTACTTATTTAACATATCTTCTTTAACTTGACGCCTCTTGTTGTCTTTGGGGACTGATAATAAAGTATCTTATTCGATCTCATTCGCTTCCACACAATGAGCGCTCATAATTTTCCGACAGCACCTGAACGCCGCAACAGAGGGGGGAGGGGGGAACCCCCGCTTTTGCGTCATGACGTCAGCCTTCACTTCCCTGAAGTTCCTGCGTGGATTGTTTACAAGTGTGTCGCTTTTCTCCCGCGTTGCGAGAGAATAAACAAGGAGCAGCTGATGCGGGAGAGCAGCTGACGAGGCTCTGAGGATGATTAAGACGGAGAAGATCCTGCACCTGAAGAGCTGCAGGGGCCGGAAGGTCCGCGTGGTCCGGGAGCACTATGTGAGGGAGCGGGTCCCGTGTTTCAGCGCTCTGTGTCAGGCGGACTGCGACAACCAGGGTAACAACAAGGCACCAACACCGGCCTTTTATTCTCCTTTACGGTGAACTACGGGACCAAACACGCACCGGCGGCACTGCAGATGAGCGCGCGAGGCTGGCGTCGACTCCACATATCACATATTCATGTTTTACTGATATACTGCGTTATTATATACTTATCAGTGACGTGCGGTGAGGTTCGTGGCTGGGCCCTGACTCTTTCAGAGTCAGATTTACAAATATATGAACCCAATATAGAGTAGCTTAAATCACCATTCATTTGGCAGCCTGCACATTGACTACTGGTTGTTTTTCATATTTCATATCAGCATTCTCTACACACACATAGCGAAGGTACATATTTGAATGCACCAGGAGCGTGTGCGCCGCGATCCGCGACCTGCCCACCAACCTGTTTCAAGAGCGGAGCGCTCGCGGGCGCCACCCGCGAAAATCTGTGTAACAACCACGGGTTTATAAAGAGAACAACAAACACCTACAAGGTTACTTTACCTGTCCGACGTTGGATTGCTGTTGATTTGGTCATATTTCCCTGTTTTTGAGGATTGTTTAAGCTTAGATATTTAATCTTCAATGTTTGCGGTCAAAGCAAAATATAAGAAGAAGAGAAGTGTAGAAGAAGAGTAACGGAACTACAAGCATGAACCCGACCCGTGGGCTCTCGCACGCCCCCTTCAGTGAGGCAGAGGTACTGTGTGCCTCCCCTCTGTGCTTTGTCACTGCGGCTTCTGTCAGATCAGCAAGACTGAATCTGTTCTACACATACGTGAAATACATGACCTGTTCTATGGAAAGAAATGACATATAATACATGTCTACAAATATTACAGTGGTGACAAACAATGAGAAAGCAAAAGGCACGCGCTCAACCCAGTTTGTTCGGGATTGCGCAGCTCGTCGCTGCCTCACCTCGCGTGTCTCTGTTTGAACAGGACATGCGCAAATTCAGCGATTTTGACTATAAAAATGATTGAAATCATACAGAAATTACATTTATAGCATAGATCAGTAGAGAAACATTATTTATTTTATCATTTGTTTTTTAATTTTCATGATGACGGGTGAGGCTCTGCCTCCCCTGACCGCACGTCCCTGATACTTATATACTCGTGTTTAAACAGCCAGTACGACAGAGTCAGTGTAGACCAGTGGTGGAATGTAACCGAGTACATTTATTTGTGCGGTTGCCCCTTCTTAGTCGATTAGTCGACTAGTCGGTCGTTTTAAGACTTTCTTTAGTCGATTTCTCATATTTTTTAAGCTTTTTTTTAATGCTGTATGACAAACTTACCAACACGTGTCTTAAAAAAAACAAAAGATTTAAAGTTTTATGTGACTTTCACTTTCGATTAAATCGATTAGTCGATAAACTCTGTACTACATCTCAGAGGTACATATTGTACTTTATGCTGTACTACATCTCAGAGTTAAATATTGTACTTTTTACTCCACTACTCCAAAGTCAAGCCTTCAAAACATCGGTCTACCAATCAATGGATGACGACTACGTCCACTTCTTACATACAGTCTGTAGGTAGGAAGTAGTTCGTCCCGGTTCAATGCATACTGCATGCAACAGTACGTACTTTGTAAGGGCAGCTGCAGTACGTACTAAAAGTAAAAGTATGTGATTTGGAGTTCAGCTAATGTGTGGTGACGGATGTTAATCCGAGACTATCTACACAAACATGTCTGTTGCATGGACTCTCTTCAGAGCTTCTCACAATCTTCTTCCATGTAACGAGCTGTAGGAACTGCAGAGACAGAACAGTGATTACCTCCTTCCATAAACGTTGGCACTTGTAAACAGTGTTTGCAGGTGCAAATAATAAAAGGTTTGCAGCATCAGCTCAGCTACAACACAAAGACAGGTAAACTCTGTTGACCGCGAGCATCTGGACTTGTGTTGGTGTTGAAGTGAATCAGTGAAAAGATGATCTGCTTACATCCCAACCAGATGGCAAAGTGCTGCCGGGAGACTTGACCCACTACGTGGTCCCTGACGTCGGGGTGGTGGTGGACTATCTGGAGATCCTGGAGTTCAGAGAGCTGCAGGGCATCGTCTTCACCCAGACCGCCTGCCAGGCCGTGCAGCACAGCAAAGGCCGCAGGTACGCTCACACCAACACGCTGAACAGGTGCACGTCTCTGGAAGGAGGGTTCTTTCTTAATGTGGTCGGTAGCACCGGCTTATATTTCTATCGGGCAAGTAGAGAAATATTGGAGCTCCAGGCACCCTGGGGGCAACGGGAACAGCACCCGTGGTCAGGACCTTTAATTCCCGAGGCTGCTTTTGAGTTAGGCCTCTAATTACAACCTTCCTGCACAAGTGTGTGAAGAGCGATGCAGAGGTCAACCTCATTATATGGAAGCTCCGCTGACGAAGGCTAAAGAGACCAGAAACACGTCTCAGGCCTCTTTGACGAACCCGGAGAACGCTGTAAATAAGGGGTCCCACATGACCCCCCCCCCCCCCCTGCTTTTCACAATTTTCTGCTTACGCCGCCATTTTTAACATGTTGCATCATTTATATGATGTGGCTTCACTTCTGATACGGTGGACAAAGCTGGTGGAGCATATTCTGATGCCACACTGTGTCAGTAATTGCAGTTTTCCCAGTGTGTGTGTGTGTGTGTGTGTGTGTGTGTGTGTGTGTGTGTGTGTGTGTGTGTGTACTGTAAAGTGCATTATACGCTCACCTGATGTATGAAAGAAATATCCAGCTATGTGATCCTCACTCTCAGAAAGGTTCATTCTTGAGACATGCTACATTAAAGGAGTAGTTAGATGAGGAGATGGACACCACTCTCCTTTTGGTAAATATGAACTATTACTAGCAGCTGCTTAGCTTAGCTTAGCATTGGAACTGGAAACAAAAAAGAGATGTATCAACCAGGTAGAGACACAAAATGACTACAAAGAAACAAAAATACAACAAAAAGACCAAAAAGAGACACAAAACAATTACAATTAGATACTAAACGACTACAAAGACTCAAAACGACTACAAACCAGCTGCAAAGAGACAAGAAAGTGAATATATGTATCACCCAAAATGTCAAACTATTCCTTTTAAGTGTTGCAATTCTCTCTATGATTTAGACCTTATGTTGTATGTGTGTGTGTGTGTGTGTGTGTGTGTGTGTGTGTGTGTGTGTGTGTGTGTGTGTGTGTGTCCGTGCAGGCAATACAACCGTCTGCGAAACCTGCTCAAAGACCCTCGACACGACTGTGTGCTGTTCGCCAATGAATTTCAAGAGTATTCCTACTGTCCACGGGAGAAAGGGGAGAGCCAGGAGAAGTGGCAGACCAGGTCAGTGTTCAATGCCTTACAGACGCAAGTACTGTATAATAAAGAGCGATCATGTACTTTAATATAGATGTAGTTCAGAGAGAGAAGAAGAAGCTAATCAGGGAGACACTTTTGTCATATAACATAAGAGACTGGTTTGTTTTGTCATGTTTTTTTTCTTGTGTAACAAATTGGCTTCAAGTGCATTTTGTTGTTACATAATGACAACAAAGAACCCTTGAACCCTTGTTTGTAGCTGCTAGTGTTAGCTACTATTAGCCATGTTACTAGCATTAGCTAATGTAGCCATATTGCTAATGCTAGCAGCCAGAACCACAACAAACAAACAAACATTTTCTAAACATGAGCTCTGGTGAAACCTACAATATTTTACTGAGACTGTTTCTTCCTGGAGAACCTCCACCGGAGACTCCAGGAAGTCACTAAAGAACGTTTTGAACTATTTCTGAACTTTGTCAAGTTTCATTTATGAAATAGTCGAGATGATTCTGCTCCTCTGGCTCCTTCAGCAGATTTTAGATGAAAGTTTAAAAATGCAGTTTAGTAATGTATAAACCCTGAATTCACTTCAACTTTGGTTCAACTTGAAGAAGCTGGTGGTGCTGAACCACATGGCAAAGAGGGCCCGCCTCCTGGCTAAGCTGTCAATCAAAGATTTGTCCGGGGGGCTTTAGGGGCAATTTCATTATTTTCTAAAAGATGTTTTTTTTTTTTTCTCCATTCAGGAAGAAAATGGGTACTATAAGCAAAATAAAATATGGACTTTAGTAATTATTTGATACTTATCTTTTCATCTTTCCGAGGGTCCTTGAACACATCATGTGTGACGAACGTCAGAAAAAGCAGCCGAAACGAAGCTTAAAATTGTGATATTTCATCAAAAACATTTTATTCTACATGTCTTATTTAAAAACATCGTCACAAATAAACTGTTTGCTTTAACCAGATTGTGTAAAAACATTACAGTGAGCTCCTCAGTCAAACTATGAAGTCATGATTGTACGTTCAAATCCAAAATGATATGATATACTGAGAAAACCAAACAAAATCAATACGTGTGTGACGGTATTGCAAGCACGTCATTTGCATAATTATTATCAATGCATCTGCAGATCAAATAGTCGTCTGCTGCAGAGATTAAACAGCCAACGAGGAAGCTGCGATACAGAAGGAAGAGATAATCAGACGCAGTAAAAGTACTGCTCACCACCCAGATCTTTGTGCCGATAAAGATTTAATTACGTGGCGCTCGATGACGTGGTCCACCTGTGTTACGCATTATGTCGTCCCCAAACTTCTTAGTTTCACTTTTAAAGACTTTTTTTAAGGCTGGAGCTGCAATCTGGAGTTCATTCATTGCAGTAAACAGTTACAGGTACTTTATGTGCTAAAGTAACTAAACACAGGATATGAAAGTTTAACAGGCAAGCTGTACTTCATTAACTGTGTGTGTGTGTGTGTGTGTGTGTGTGTGTGTGTGTGTGTGTGTGT